ACCACAGTCACTGAGAAGGAGCTACTGGGGAAGTGGACAATGGTGTATTTTGGTTTCACACATTGTCCAGATATATGTCCAGAAGAAATGGAGAAGATGTCTGCAGCTGTCAATGTCATCTGTAATTATTATTACTATTATTATTACTATTATTTAATTTAGGTATTTTTTGCAAAGAGTAACATTATTTTGTACTATTTTATGTAGAAAATGAACTTGAAGGTAACTTGCCGTTTTGATCCAGATTTTTATTTCATTGATGTAATATTTTTAACATCGTTATCATCATCATCCTATCCCCACAGAGATTGACGGGTTTATCATCATGTTCTCTCCAAACCATACAATCCTGCATCAACTATGCCAAATTTCTGAACCACTGACCAAGTCATCTATAGAGCTGTAAATGTTAATGACACAAAGTTTGGGCTCATTTTTTTTTTCAGACACATCTGATTCATCTTTGTGGTAAATAATTTATATTGCATAACTCCAAAAGAAATGAGTACAATTTGATGAAGAACTATTTAAATTTCTCACTCACTCACACACACCAACACTTAGACATTTACAGTATACATGCAAAGTGGAATGGGTACAGCAAAAAGCAATATTTACAAAAGTAAACAGACTGTTACACTGAAGAAAATACAGACTTGTGAAAGACTTGTTTCTTCCAGAGATAATGTATAAGCAAAGGGAAGTACTTGTCTATGTAACATAGATAGGGAGCGTACACAGTGATGGTATTCAGACTAACAGATCTGCTTAGTAAACATGACCGACTCACCTAAAAAACAGCCTCGCCCAATCCCCTAATTTTGTTCTTTAATACAGGGACTGATGTTGTTGATTTAGGAAATTGATTTGGATAGACGTGCAGTTGTGATCATTGTGATTGTGTGAATCAGACCAAAGATGATGTCAGTTTGACTTGTAATGTATCTGTGAGTATCAAAATATTTTATTTGTAACAAATATGTAATTTTTTGGTTGTGTTCTATTTCAGCCGGCCAGAAAGACATGCCTGATATCCCAATTTATTTCATCACCTGTGACCCTGCTAGAGACACTCCTGACGTCATGAAAAGATACAATGAAGGTGAGTGATGACAGAGAGAAAAAAATCCTAATACCTTGTACTTTTTGAAATAAATTTTGTTTTAAGTGTTGTTTAAAAGAGATACTTAATTCCAAAATTTTGCATCAGGATAGGTGGGGATGTGCCTTAAGTCTTCAATCAAAGTTATTTGTCATGAACAGAAAACTGTCTTCGAAATCGGTAGTGTTCTGAGAATAGTTTATTAAGCAAAGATATAAATAAAATTAATTTGATATGAAACATTTTATTGCAGGGAAACTTAAAGATGAAATCAATCTCATAAGTGGTCTTTCTAGAGTACCAGACAAGAAATTCAATTTTAATTTGTTTATTTTTAATTATATTTTTCATTGATTGATTGGATTGGCTGTAATGTATAGAAATATCATTAATCTAAAATGACCTGTCTATTTATAGAAATCTCTTCAAGAATCATTGGTCTGACAGGACCAGAAGACAAGGTGTTGGATGCCTGTAAACAGTACAGGGTATACTTTAGTAATGGCCCCAAAGACAGAGACGGGGATTATATCGTAAGTAGACTCATACCTTACATATACCACAGTTGTCACATCTAACACAATCTGCAGCTGTCACATCTAACACAATCTACAGTTGTCACATCTAACACAACTGTAGCTATCGTATCTGGGTACAGTCTGAACCATTATTGCGTTAAAGTCACAACTAACACAATGTGTTGTATATGGTATAAAACCTGGTGCTGTGCTGGTTTAGTCACAACACTGGTTTGATATGATTTTTGATGATTAATTAACTTTATTTATTTATTTATTGTTTATAAAAGCGAAAGAATTTATTTTTCCCTGGTAATTAAGATATTAATATCTTAATGAGTTAATTAAGTAATTAACTTATTAAGATATTTACAATCTAGAAACATGAAATTCAGATTTCACTTTTTAAAGCAATTTTCTTTAATTTGTATCTATTTCTTTTGAGAGAGATTCAAAAGCTTAAAACTTACAAATGAAAAAAAAAAGGTTAATGGGTTTTGATACTCAGCAGTATTAGAACGAGTATTTTGATGTTATATTACATACCTGTACAAGACTGAGAAATAGTGACTAATTGTTCCCCTACCTCCAGGTGGATCACAGTGTGATAACATACCTCATGGACCCCCAGGGAAAGTGCCAGGCTTTTTACTCCAGAGACTCTACTGTGGAATCTGTAGCCAGAGATATCAGGCAAAAAATAACATCTTGGGTGCCACAGTCCTGATGAAGATGAGATGAGGATAATTGTATAAATTATGGACTCCATGCTCTCTTCTGCCAGGAGCCTGAAGACAAACTTGTAATAATAGTCAGGGGTGAAAGTGTTCAGTATTATGCCTGATTCAGGATTGTCAGTCTTCATGATCGTGTTTGTCTAATGGTCTAAAGAATTTTCAGTTTTTTCAACTTTCACCCCTGGTTGTAGCATGTGGCAAAGATGAGGTCTGTTTCATGGCCCTTGTTCACACTGAGCAGAACAGTTGCCTGCATCGCATAGGTTTGACATAATGGCAAGTTAATAGCCTGGTGATTATGTAAGATAGCTTAAAAGGATCTCAGCTCTTGACTGGAGCTTTCAAACGATCAGAACTTTGTGAAATGGAGTAAAATTCCCATAGCATGATTAAAAAAAATATTTTCTAACTCGGGTCTAGTCAAACTGGTTCAAAACAGAAAAATGCATTGCTCAATGTGAAAAGGACCAATGTGATGTGACAGGCCATGTTGGCCCACATAATTTTGTTTTCTTTTTATGTACAGACACAGATGTGTCTGTACATATAGCCATCATCTGCGTCTGTCGTCGCCGTCACCGTCGTCGCTGTCGTCGCCGTGCACTTTTACCGATAACACGATAAGTGGAAAACCATTTTACCTTTTGAATTGAAACTTGCAGAACTGATGAATATTCATAATACGCAGGTCAAGTTCGAAAATCAGCATGATCGGGTCACTTTTAGGGAATTTATGCTGTTTTTTCACTTTTTTCAGCATATATGCAGC